CACCCAAGTCTAGGGAAATTAATGGTACGCACAAATTCTAACAGGTTAATTAACCTAAAAGAATCTCACCTTTATGCATTATGATCTTTCCATATGAATTACCTCTACCTGAATAATGTCAAAAATCTGTTTCTTGTCCCTGAAGCCCTGAGATAACTAGAAAGTAATGGTACTGGTATTTCAGGTTCAGCTTGTGCAAACACATCTTTTTCCTTAGACTCAACTTAGATAACTCCCTTTAATTATTAGATATTGCAAAAGAGTATTTTTTTTATCTACAGCTACCAGTTTTGGACTTCCATTCACTCCTCTTCAGCTCTTTGTTTCTTGGTATTCATCCCTACCACTCTTTTTGAAATGATTCTGTAATGCTTCCTACTGACCTACAAAATTTAAGGGGCTCTCTACTCAGTCTCTATCCTATTAAGCCACTTTTAAAAGAGTTTAGTTTTAAAAAAATTTTTTTTTTAAAGTTGTAGTTGGACACAATACCTTCATTTTATTTTTTTATTTTTATGTGGTGCTGAGGATTGAACCCTAAAAAGAGTTTGTTTTTAAACACTCTTTTTTTTTTTTTGTTACTCTTTTCTTTCCAAGATTTGATTACCCTCACTCTGCTTACTATTTTGTTCCTTGTTGATTTCAGCTTGAACCTTGTAAATGATACTGTTCCAGGACTGGTCTTACTCCTTTTCATTGTACATTCTCTCACTTTGAGGCCATATAGTCTCATGATTTAATTACCACCTCTATGAAAATGTTTCCCAGTCCTGGCTGAATTCTTGGTGAATCTCCAGTCAGTCAACTATATTTGTTTCTCTATAGGGATGTCCTACTAGTTTATCAAGCTTAACATTTCCAAGTTCAGAGTTAAGATCTTTCTCAACCCAGTGTTTCTCTGAATTCTCCTTCAAATGAGGTAGGTAGACATTGAGGAAAGAGCAGAGTTCTAAAAGTGGATGCCCTGGATTCAAATTATGGCTGTAATATTGACTGCATATCAATTTGCTCATCTTTATTTTGTGTATGTCAGATACAACCAATCCTCAATCAAGTACGACTCTTCTCTTTGATCAATGAGTGCTATCATTATTCCTAGTAGGTAGTCTGGGAAAAGGATTGCCTACTAATTTTGCTTTTCCCCTCATTAATCTAAATGGAAGCCAGGTCCTACAGAAGCTATTCCATAATAACTCCTGATTGTATTTCATCCTTCCCAAAGTTGTAAACTCTACTATTTCAATAGCATAGGGAGGCTCCTTGCCTTCAATCTCATTTAATTCATTTTCCATACTGCAGCCAGAGATGGATTTTGGAAGACTGTGATTAATTCTTAATTGTTAAAATATTAACAAAAGTGTGATTAACTCTTTATTGTTAAGTCTGTAATAACTGTCTGCTGGTTTTTCCTGACAGTACAGTTCACATGAGAGATCCTACTTCTTAGGTATAAACAGCTGAAAGAGGTTCACACTTTAGCTATGCTGTACAAAAGCAGCAATGCTGCTACAAAAGTTTCAAATTTTGTAACACTAAAATCTCCAAGAGAATATAAATAAATAATAATAATGTTCTTTCTAATCACTCTTCATATTTTTCTGCTTTCTTCAGCATGAATGCAATTGAATTCAAAGATAAACTTATGTCTGTCTAGTATTTCCTTTCCTCCTTACTTTTTGAGTATTATTTTTTTTTTTACTTGTAGTTCTGAGTAAAAGCCATAATATCTGAAATTCTTGGTTCTTTCCATTTAGTCTACTCATATATGTATATTCAACCCTTGAAGGAATTCTAGGCTGCTTTTGATAGGATAAACTTTATTCACACTGCTTCTTTAGCAATATCTACATTTGCTAGCATTTGCTCACACTGACTTTCTAATGAAACAAATATTTTCACAACCATATCTCTTACATATATTTTTGAATACATTCACATATTCTTCAAGTAGTTAAACAGTATGGTTTTCTCTATAGCCTTCTACTAAATTTAACTTCTACCACTTTGAGAAAATGAATTCTGTAATAAGATTACTACCTTTTTAGGGGGACTGGGGCCGTAGCTCAGTGATAGAGGACTTGCCTCGCATGTATGAGGCTCTGGGTTCAATCCTCAGTAAAAATAAAATAAAAATAAATAAATAAAGTTATTGTGTCCATCTACAACTAAATATATATATATCTACCTTCTTATCTGAATAGTACAGTGAAACTTCATATATCCAGAGGTATATTTCATGTAACTTCAATCCAATGGAATTTCTTAAGCTTTCTTTCTTAAGCTGCAAACCCAGGAGTACAAAAATCTTTTTAGCATTTAGAATGGTTGTCATAAAGGGCATGTAATAAAATTTGTGTAAAAATTTTTCTCAGTCTATAATCTTGAAGTAGTTCTGACCAAAAGAAATATAAGTTTTCTAAGCAATTATACTACAGAGGAAGGATTCCAAGTTCAAAGCCAGCCCCAGCAATTTAGCAAGGTCATAAGCAACTTAGTGAGGCCCTGTCTCTAAATAAAGGGCTGGGGATGTGGCTCAGAGGTTAAGTGCCCCCATAAGCCCCAGTACCATTCCCTCTGAAAAAAAAAAAAGAAAGAAAGTAAAACAAACAAAAAGGTGAAACTAATTAATTCAGATTATTATTTCATCAAATATTAATATAAAAACAAGAATATTTTACATTTCTTTCCTCCTCCTTCCAAAGCCAATATATATTGTATATTTATAGGATGTCTCAATTCAGATTTCCACTGGAAAAACTTAAAATCTTTATTTAGATTTTATAAAATTTACAATTCAAAAAGTAGATTCACATACCCAACTTGTTTCATACTAAGTTTCCCAATAACTAAAGTAAATGTCAGTGTTTCAATTTAAATTTTAAATTAATTAAAAAATTAAAAACTCAACTCTCTCAGCCATACTAGCTTCATTTAAAAGGCTCTGTGCATTTAAAGCTGTTGGCTAATCTCAAGCAGGTTTGCACTCTGGCTCCTGGCAGTTAAGCTTAATATTTGTGTAAGTTTTGTGTTTGCACACCAATTTGCTTACTGAATTTGCCATTATAATACTGCTCTTATAAGAGTTGATTTTATTATTACTGTAAAATAATATGTTTTTCTGGAAACACTAGAAAGTTGGAGGCAGAACTTAACTATTTGGAGACATTGAGACATTGGATTTCTTTTGTGACCTATACCAGAGTGGGGCTGGGATGTAGCTCAGTGGCAAAGTGTTTGCCTCACATTCGCAAAGCCCTGGGTTTGGTACCCCCAACTCCTGTTCCAAACCCCCCCCCCCCCAAACCCAAAAACCCAAAACCCAAAAAACAAAACAAAAAAGCCCCAAACCACCTGATACTTACACAAACCAGAAGAGCCTGAAATGAAAGTGTTAAGCAGAGAGACTATAATTTTTTTTTGAAGAGTGATATAAACTCCAAATAAATAAAATTAAGTCTCTTAGGTCTGGCAAGGCTCTACGTTAGAGAAGCACAGCATTATTATCTGGCCCTACCTGACCACTCTGCAGTGCCAAAGAACATGCTGAGATTTCTGCACCTGGTCCTGTTTTAGGGGGCAACATCTTGCTTCACTGAGTTTATGTTTCTTGGTTAAATATGAAAGTTCTGTGTCTATTTTTCAATCCTTCCCTTGTCCCACCTCTGTGTGTGTGCATAGGAGGCATTTTAGTTTCTTCCTATCTGTAGCCCAATCTTAAGTAACACAACTACTTACATTTCTGAGAAATGAGACTGAAGAGAGGTATTTCTTTTCTTTTTTTTTTTGTGGTGCTGGGGATTGAACCCATGGCCTTGTACAGGCAAGGCAAGCACTCTACCAACTGAGCTATATCCCCAGCCCTGAAGAGAGGTATTTCTGAACATTATAGTTGTGTGATAAAGGTACATTGCTAAAAAAGTGCTTCTAATTGGTTAGGGTAAGATTATACAGGCAGGAAAAAAAAAATATAGAAGTCTACATTCAGATTGCTTTGCATTACAGTTACACATAAAAATGAAATTCATTGTGATATATTCGTATGTACATACAGCATAATTTGGTCAGAATGCAGTTCCTACCCTTTCCTATTTCTTCTCCCTCCCTCTCAATCCCCTTTAACTACTTCAGTGTTCTCCTATTTTGGTGAGATTTCTTTTGTTAAAATTCCTTATGCATATGTGAGAATCTGAATATGGCTTATTTCACACATCATGATGTGTTCTACCCATTCACTGGCAAATAATATAATTTAATTATTCTTTATGGTGGAGGCAATCTCCATTCTGTATGTATACTAGATTTTCTTTATCTATTTATCTATTAAGGGAGACACCTAGGCTGGTTCTATAAGTTGGCTACTATAAATTGAGCTGTTGTATATATTGGTATGCATGTAACACTATAGTATGCTGATTTATGTCTTTTGGATAAATACCAACAAGTGGAATGGCTAGGTCATATGGTCAGTCCATTCCTAGTCATTTGAGGAATTTCTATACTGCTTTCCAAAGTAGTTGTACAAATTTGCAGTACTATCAATAATGTATGAGTGTACCTTTTCCCCCCTGTCCTCTCCAGCAATGAGTGGGATGACTTCAAATTAAAATGCTTCTGTACAACAAAGGAAACAATTAAAAAGAGTGTGAAGAGAGCATCCAAAGAATGAGAGATCTTTGCACCTCCTTCTCATATAGGGCATTAATATCCAGAATACATTACAGAATTCAACACTGAAAAAAAAAAAAAACACCCAAATCAATAAAGGGGCAAATGAACTAAAACAGATCTTTCCCAAAAGAAGAAATGCAAATGGCCAACAAATACATGAAAAAACATTCAACATTCTTAGCAGAGAAATGCAAATCAAAACTACACTAAGATTTCATCTCACTCCAGTCAGAATGGTAACCATAATTTTGATTATTTTAGAAATGAAAAATTATTGTACAAGTATCAAGTGTTTTATGAAAATCTAAAATAACTAGCAGCTATTTACTTACCTTAAAAAACTCCTTTTTCTCAATCATCTCATTGCCATCTGCATCTAGCATTTTAAAAGCAACATGAAACCCAGTATGAGGTTCTGCAATGAAGTAAAAATGAGTAATTATGTAAATGTTGGTGAAATGCAAGCTATCTGCAGATAATGCTCAAATCTGAAACAAGCCATCTGAGACTATATGAGTAAGTGCTTAAACTGAGAAAACAATGTACTCTTTCTCAATTTTCAAAGGTGGATATTTGGTGTGAAGGCTTTGCCCCTGCTTTGTCTAGCACTTTTTTCATGGGAGCTTCTGCTCTACAGCTCTGCCTTTCAATGCAAAATTAACTGAGAACTTTATTTCATTAGCTTATTTATTTATTAAGGATTTATTTATCTATTTATTTATTATTATTTACTTATTTATTAAGAATATAAGAACTTTATTTCTTATATTCTTATATTTTCTTGGCTATATTACTAATGATGATTACTTCTCTTTCTCAGAGTAGTTTTAAAAAAAATCTTTTAACTTTGTAATCCTTTCAAACTCAAAGAAATATTGTAAAGATAGTAGAAGAGTCCTCACAGATTTGCTACCCAGCTTTTTCTAAAGCCAACATCTCACATAACCATAGCACATTTATCAAGATAAAGAAATTAATATTGATATGCCATATGAAATAAACTAAAGACTTTATTTGAATTTCATGTTGCCCCGTTCCCCACACTTATGCTACTTTTCTACTCTAGGATCAAATATCATGCTGCATGTAGTTGTCATTTGTCCTTACCCTTCTCCATCTGTAGAAGTTTCTCATTCTTTCTTTGTTCTCTATGACCTTCACACTTTTGAAGAGTACTGGTCAGGAATTTTGTATGTAATGTCAGGTGAGGGTTTTTAATGTTCACAAGTGAAGGTTAACTATGACTCGTGTGTTCTACAAGGCTTCTATTTAGGAAATAAAGTTCTGGGATGCCATGGTGCACGGGAGGTAGAAGGGATAATCTAATATAGTGTTTACATTTTGTAGATATAGAAGCTAAAGTTAATGCACCAGTATTTTTTAATGATTAAGACATAAATGTCAAACTTCAAAAATACTGTTTGGTAAGAAGAGAGAATTCACAAGATTGCTGTAAAAATTACGGGATACTTACTAGTGAGGATTGTAAGCAAGAAAAGATACTCAGTATACGAAATTAGCCCTGAAAGACAGAAAGTAAAAACATACTAAGAAATACATTTTAGATGGCTTAATAGTATCCTCATGGAGGTGTTAATAATGAAACTTCATCCAAGTAAACAACAACAACAACAAGACTCCCATAATTTTTACTTTAACTCTCCTAGACATAGAGGGAAAATTTTATAATAGTGTTGAAATACAGTCCTCCTGCTTGGAGCGGGGGGAAAGACCTGTTTTATCAAGTTACTAGTACAGAGGATGTGAGAACTGTCAAGCAGTGTTCAATTAAACACTATTTCTGAGTATCTCTATGATGGTGCTTCTGGTTGATATCAGCATATGATTAAATTGGTAGATTCAGTACAGTAGCCTGCCCTCCCAGATATGGGTGGGCATTATAATCTGTTCAACAAAAAAACAGAGGAAGAAGGAATTCAGCTTTTTCTCTCCTAAGCTCAGACTGAGGTTTACACTATAGATTCCCCTGATTCTCAGATCTCTTGGCTTGGACTAAGTTACACATCCAGCTGTCCCAGGATGACTCTATTTTTTCCCCTTTAGAGGTAGGTGTGGACTGGCCTAAGTCAATCACTGATTCTTGTAATGTAGAAACAGGTAAGTAGCTCTGGCCCAAGCTAGTGAGGGGGGTATATTAGCCTGGTGCCAGAGCCTGGTTTCGGCACAGGCCATGATCTAAGATGGGTCACTCAGAAGTTATCATAGGATTTCTGTTGAGAATGCTAGATCACTGACTTATGTAAGAAAGTTCTTAAACTTAGGAACGTTGAGGAGATGAAGAGAGTACTTGAAAACTGCCACAAAGCCAGCATTTCAAAAAGGAGAATGTAGTCATTTTTTAATTGGCAGGCCTGAATAAGGTTTTCACATTTGTCCTATAGTTTCCAACATTATAGGAAATTTTGATGATTACATGTCCTCCATAAAATTTTACACATACCTCTAACTTCTCTATTTCCTACAAACTGACACTTAGATCCAGAGGTGTGCTGAGATTCAGGTTTTTTTTTAAATATACTTTTTAGTGCCAATGGATCTTTTATTTATTTATATGCTGTGCTGAGGATCAAACCCAGGGCCTCACACATGCCAGGCAAGTGCTCTACCCCTAAGCCACAGCTCCTGAGATTCAGGTTTGATTTTTGTTTTTGTTTTTTTTGTACTGGGGACTGAACTCAGGAGCACTTTACCACCAAGCTACCTACAATCCTTTTTGATTTTAAGAGATGGTCTTGTTACCTTGCTCAGGGGCTTGATACATTGTTAAGCCTGGTCTTGAACTTGTGATCCTTCTGACTCACCCTTGGGAGTTGCTGGGATTATAGCCTGCGCTACCATACCCAGCAAGAATTCTTTTTGGCGAGAATTCTTCAGAGATGATAATTTATATTTCCATTAAGAGACCAAAACACAGAAAATGCTATATACCACTAATATGTACTATGTTAATCAGTTTTTCATTGCTTTAAGCAAAATATCTTAGAGGAAGCAAAATTTGTTTTGACTCATAGTTTCAGAGGTCCATGGTCAGGTCAGCCTACTTCATTGCTCTGGGTCCAAGCTGAAGCAGAACATCATGGCAGAAGGGTATGGGGGAAGAAAGCTGCTCATCTCATGGTATTCAGAAAGTAGAAAAAGGTAGGAGCCAGGGGTACAAGATATAATCTCTAGGAGAATACCCACAGAGACCCACTTCTTCAGCTATGCTCCACCTCCCTATAGTTCCCACTCACTTAGTCTGTTCAAATTAGGATTAGAGTACAGATCTCATAATCATCTAATCATTTTACTTCTGAACACTCCTGCATTAACACAAATCATGTTCTGATAGTAACAGTTAACAGTTAAGAAAAAATGTGAAATCATTTCCAGATTTAGATAATCATAGATACTGTAGAGGAACTAATTTTTAAGGTAATCTTTGAATGATCCAATTGAGGAGAGAAGATGGGTTAAAAAGGTTTTTTTGTTGAGATGAGGTCTCACAAATGTTGCAGTGACTATATGACCAATGTAATTCTGCAACCTGTACAATCAGAAAAATGAGAAATTATATCCCATTTGATTCAAATGTATGAATTGTCAAGATCATTGTACTGTCATGTGTAACTAATTAAAAAAAAAAAAAAAGCTAGTCTTTTTTAAAAAATGAAGCGGAGAAAACTGGAGATATATATATATATATATATATATATATATATATATTTTTTTTTTTTTATATTTTTCTCTCTTACCCTGCACAAAAGTCAAATCAAAATGGATCAAAGACTTAGGAATTAAACCAGAAACCTTGCAATTAGAAGAAAACATAGAGTGCTGGCATTGACTTCCTTAACGAGAAACTCAAGAAAACTCAAGAAATAAAACCAACAATAAATAAGTGGGATGCCATCAGACTAAAAAGCTTCTGTATAGCAAAGGAAACAAGAGTGTGAAGAGACAGCATACAGCATGGTACAAAATTATATCAAGAATATATATCAAGGATTAATATCAAGAATATATAAACTCAAAAACTTTAATACTTAAAAAAACATGTAATGAATAAATAAGCAAAAAGAATGAAACAGACATTTCTCAAAAGACAGAGATGGCCAAAAAATATATGAAAAAATGTTCAACATCTCAAGCAATCAGGGAAATGCAAATCAAAACTACACTCAGTTCATCTCACTCAAGTTAGAGCAGCAATAACCAAGAAAACAAATAATAATAATATGCTGGTGAGGATGTGGGGGGAAAGGTAAACTCATACATTGTTAGTGGGACTGTAGACTAGTACCACCACTCTGGAAAGCAATATGGAAATTCCTCACAAAACCAGGAATGGGTCAGGCACAGTGGAGCATGCCTATAGTTCCAGTTAATTTGGGAGACTGAGTAGGAGGATGGCAAATTCAAGGCCAATCTCAGCAACTTAGGGAGACCCTGTCTCAAGAAACAAAAACTAGGAATGGAAACACCATATGATCCAGCCATCCCATTCCTTGGTATTTATCAATAAGAACTAAAATCTCCATAGTATGTGTTACAAACCATCTCAATGTTTATAGCAGCACAATTCACAAAAGCCAAATTATGGATCAGTCCAAATGCCCATCAATAAATAAAAGGATTAATAAACTGTTGTATATATACACAATGGAGTTTTACTCAGCCATAAGGAAGAATGAAATTATGGCATTTTCTGGAAAATGGATAAAAACAGAGAACATTATATAAAGTGAAATAAGTCAGTCTATGAATTTGTTGAAATGAAACTAACTACTATGTATACCTATAACGCTCTAATAAAAAATATAGATACACACATACATACAAGTGTTTTGGGGCTAGGGATGTATCTCAGTGCTATAGTGATAGAACACCTGCTTAATTAGCATGTAATTTGATCCCCAGCATCACAAAAAGAAAAAGTTGTCAAAAGGAAGTGTTTTGATAAAAAATAAAAATCAGATGATGATAATCCATGTTTTATTATGATGTTATAAACAGCTGATGCATTACTTCCAAAATTTACTAAAACATTACTGCTAAATGGATTTGATTTTGTTGATAATACCAATTAATCCTAACCTGGGAAAAATCTATATAAATTACTGAAAACTTTTAATTAAAAATATTAAAATAAAATTTAGTCCTTATGCTTTCATTACACAGAACCCCTAACTAAAATTGCATTCTGAAATAGAATAGTTTACAGTTAGCATATAATTAGTTTTAGATGAGTATCCATTATTTTCTAGAGAACATTTAGGCAATATACTGGGCAACCAGGAATATAAAAGTGACCGCATAAATTTTTTGTCTCTGAGAATTTATGATTTAATTAGCAAAGATTAGTATAGCAAAATGCAAAAATGAGAAAGAGCACAAACTCTAGTAGATTTGGATATCAGTTTCAAAGAGTAGGGTAGCTACTGAGTAGGAAGGTGTTTAATGGGTGATGGGAGTATGGATGGTGTTCCATATAAAAGTGACAGGCAGCACATAAAGGCACTACCAGTATTTAGGAAGGTTAAGGCACAGGAGAGGGCTGTATGGGTATTTCTTTTCTGAGTAAAGGGTGCTTCTAAAGTCTCTTAATCACTTACCTCATGTTATGTTTTGGATATGGAATAGCCCTCAAAAGCTCATGTATTAGGCAACAAGCAATGTTTAGAGGTGAAATTCTTAGACTGTAAGGACTGTAACCTCATCCATCAGAGGACTAATCCATTTGATGGATTAATAATCTGAATGGACTACCTAGTGATAATTGTAGGTAGGTAGGGCATGGCTAGAGGAAGTAGGTTACTGGGTGTGTGGCCTTAGAGACTATATCTGTCCTTGGTCTCTTCCTCTCTTGCTTTCTGTACTTTTGAGCCACCATGAAAAGTTGAGCAGCTTTTCTCCACCATTCCCTTCTGCCATTAATTTTATGCCTGTAAACAGTCAACCATGGATTGAGACCTCTGAAACCAGGAGCCAAAATAAATCTTTCCTTCTCTAAGTTGTTCTCGCTTTGTATTTTGTTCAGAGATGAAAAGCTGACTAACATACCTCAAATGCTCTTTTCTTAAAATGACTTCAACTTTCAGTTTTTATTTTATGAACGTTTCTTGAAAATAATTTTTAATAGAATTTCTAAAATCTTATTGTATTTACATAGTGTTTTATACAATAACTACATCCAGTTCTAATATTCTGCCATTAGATGAAAACTATCATAATGCTCTCCTTGTCCTTCCTTCCTTCAGGAAAAATAATTATAAAACAAATGATTGTTTATACTTCTATCCATAAAAATTACTCAAGCTTTCGTAACCAGTAAATATCTTTCTTAAAATCTCAGAACATTGTCAGAAAAGTCATGAAACAATACCTCAAAGCCATAGCTTTAGAATTTTGGATTTAAAGAATGTGCTACAAATTTACCTTGAAGTGCCAAATTAATAAGAACTTCCTAGAGCAAAGCCTTATAAAATCTTTAGCAACAGAGATTTAAAAGGTACTACATATTTTAGTTTACAAATTCACTAACAAAAGGTCACGATCCAGTAAATATTAAGTCTTACAAAAAAACAATAGAAATTATTTGTAAAGTGCTAGACACATGGTAAGAAAACTAAGACTAATTTGCCCAAGGTTACATAGGTAATAATGCTGAGAATACAAATCAGGCTTAAAGCTCATCTACTTAATCATATTTTTTTAGGGCTATGTATCAGATATTACTAATATTTAAAATATCTTATTAAATTGCTGACTCTAAAACACCTAACTAGTCTTCATCATTACATCCCAGACTAAATCACAGTAAATTCCTATTGTAAACAATTTAGGAGTCAAACTCTTACAGTATATAGTGATACTCTGGTGCTAGGACTGAAAGGAATGAGGTGAGGTGAAGTGTGGCATGGTGTAAAAATGATTAGTTTTTGAAAGAAAATAATACATGTAGAATATAATTATATTCTATGTAGTTCACTAAATAATGATGCACTGAAGAATAAAAGAAATGGCTATTTATCAACAAGAACTGTAATTAATTGTCTTAAGTATGGAGTTTTACATTTTGTCATTGTTTTCTTTCTCTACATAGCACTATGTGATATTTTCACTTTAAAACTGTTGATTTGAGAACATGGTAAATATTTGAAATAGCTGTAAAAATTGTCTACATTCAATAAAGAGTTATGAACCATTGATTTAGAAATTACATTTGTTTCTTAATTCTTCATTCCTTCTTCAGACAACAGGAGAGACTATTACCTGTTATTGCTTTATCATTAACCTTAGGTGAACACCTTTTCTATACTTGTGGAATAAAGAGAGGTTGTATTAATCAGCATTTAGCCACCATGACTGAAATGCCTGACAAAAACAACTTAGAGGAGGAAAGATTTATTTTGGCTCATGGTTTCAGAGGATTCTATCCATAGTCAGCTAACTTCAAGGCAGAAATATTGTGACAGAATGGCATGGTGAAAGAAAGCTGCTCAGGTCACAGCAAAGGGGAAGAAGGGGATTGAAGGGGAAAGGGGGAGAGGAAAGAAAGGAAGGATGAGAGGGTAGGGATAGGCCAAAGAGAACACAAACCCTTCAGGGCAAGTCCCCAGTGACCAACTTCCTCCTACTAGATCCTACCTCCCAGTAGACCATTCAGCTATCAATGGATCAATCCACTTGATTATCAAATGAATTAATCGACTGATGAGTTCAGAGCCTTTATAATGCAATCACCGCCTAAAAGCCCCATCTCTGAACATTTGTGATTGGGGACTATACTTTCAACACACAAGCTTTTGGGAAGACATTCCAGATCCAAACCATAACAGGGGTCTTTAGATAAGAAGTAACATTATAGCTGGGCATGGTGGTAAACCCCTGTAATCCCAGTGGCTAGGGAGGCTGAGGCAGGAGGATTGCTAGCTCAAAGCCGGCCTCAGCAACTTAATGAGGCTCTAGGTAACTCAGTGGAACCCTGCCTCTAAATAAAATATGAAAAAAAATGGGGATGTGGCTCAGTGGTTAAGTGTCCTGGGATTCACTCCCCAGTACCAAAAAAAAGCCAAATGATAATCAAGTCTCATCATCGAAACCAAACCAACATTCCTTCAGATTTCTGCTCCACACCAACACCTACCTTCCAATTCCTCTGCTCACAGGTCTCTCAAGGGGTCTGTATTTAATTTTTTTTAACATCCCCACTCACTTTCTCAAAATCCTGAAATATGGCTTCAGATACCATTCCCTTACTGATCTGTATTTGCTAACGGGTCAAGCACTTCCAGCTGCTATATCCAATGGGCAGTTCTCTGTCCTAGCTTATTCAACTTCATTAATTTACTTATTTGACAGCTCCTTCTTTAATATGTTCTCCTCTTGGCCTCTGTGGTAAAATTCTCCTGGTTCTCTTCTACTTCTTGGATCTCCTGGCCCTGGTTTCTTTCATGAGCACTTTATCGCTATCTATTCCCTTATATGTTGGTGCACCTCTGAGGCCTTCTCATCTTCTTTAGACTCATGTCTCATCCTTACTTTTTTTTTTTTTAAAGAGAGAATTTTTTTTAATATTTATTTTTTAGTTATCGGTGGACACAACATCTCCGTTTTGTATGTGGTGCTGAGGATCGAACCTGGGCCGCACGCATGCCAGGCGAGCGCGCTACCGCTTGAGCCACATCCCCAGCCCTCATCCTTACTTCTCTTATTCCACCTCATCTCTTCTCTCCAGTTTTTAATTAACAATGATGTTTTAATAATTTACCTTAAATTGTTCAAAGAATGAGAATAACTTTTTCATTTTGTTTTATTTTTTTAATTAATTTTTAATTTTTATTTATTTATACATACATATATATTTTTAGTTGTTGATGGACTTTTATTTTTTATTTATTTATAGGTGTTTCTGAGAATTGAACCCAGCACCCCATACATGCTAGGCAAACGCTCCACCAATGAGCCACAACCCCAACCCTTATTTGTATTTTTGTTTTAAAAACACCTGTTAAATAACATGGTACAAATCTCATACCTTAGTTCTCTAATAATACGTCAGTTAAATTATACATGCAACCAAAAAATTAACAGCAAATTAAAATTACCTTTATCACCAAGGTCTCTAAAAAAAGTTGATCCACAATTAGCTGTACGGATTCCTGCCAGTACCTCCTCGATATCCTATAAATACATATATTAAAATCTTTCAATTTGATTTATAAAAGTTCACTATCTTTTTTAAAAAAATATATTTTTAGTTGTAGGTGGACAGAATACCTTTATTTTTTTTTCATGTGGTGCTGAGGATTGAACCCAGTGCCTCATGCACGCTAGGCAAGCCCTCTATCATTGAGCCACAACCCCAGCCCCAAAAGTTCATTATCTTACCAAAAACAAACAACACTTCCCCTCCTTTCCCTTACCTTTTTTGCCAGCTTCTTGACTAAAGTTTTACCTGGAGCAAAGAAGAAACAGTATTTAGTACTCATATTCCTTGATAAAACTCAACTGGCATTAATGATTCACAAGACAAACAACTGAATGCTTCTAAAAAGTTTGCAATTTTTAGTCAATATCCTTAAATCAAAATTATGAGCTAAAGAATTCTAAGTATAAACACAAAGATGCTATAGTTTTTTTTTACAAGTCAATTCCTTAACCATCCTATTTCATGCATATAAAATCTTCTTTGACTTATCGGAGTTGTCTGCATCAGGCATTAATCCTTTTTTTAAAGTATTTTTTTAGTTATAGATGGACATAATACCTTTATTTTATTTTTATGTGGTGCTGAGGATCAAACCCAGTGCCTTCCACTTGTGAGGTGAACACTCTACCACTGAGCTATGACCCCAGCCCCTCAGACATTAATTTTTGCCACACATAATTTCTTTCTTCACGTGATTATTAAATCAATCTCTTTTTGTTTTTATCGATTAAAAAAGAAATATCACACTTATGTTTTAGAAAGCTGCCTTTTTGGAAACCTGAAAAATCCTTTATGCTAACAACTTGCCAGTCAAATTTAAAAGGCTAGCCAACATGACTGTCCATGCTGAGGTGATATTATTTTTCACAATTTCCTACTGGATAACAGAGATTTCTTTCAGGTTTTTAGCCACTTTTTTTCCCCCTCTGCCTACAACTTTTTTTTTTTTTTTTCTTCCCACAGTTCTGATGATTGAGCCCAGGGCATCAGGCAAGCCAGGTAAGTATGCTATTACTAAGCTACATCCCCACCCCATAAAGCTCTATAATTCCAAAATAACTACATCGTTTCTTTTACACATATAGAACAGTATTAAAAATTTTGTCTTTTACAGAAGTCATGGGCATCACAAACTTCACCTCTTGTTCTCAAAATTATTGTTATTATTGTTATTGGGCACTGGAGATTGAACTCAGGGGCAAGTGCTCTACCACTGAGCACAACCTTAGCCCTTAACTTTATTTATTTATTTATTTTTTTGGGTACTGGGGATTGAACTCAGGGGCACTTGACCACTGAGCCACATCTCCAGCCCTGTTTTGTATTTTATTTAGAAACAGGGTCTCACTGAGTTGCTTAGCACCTCATTTTTGCTGAGGCTGGCTTTGAACTCAATATCCTCCTGTCTCAGCCTCCTGAGCCACTGGGATTATAGGTGTGCACAACTGTACCCAGAGATTTTGTTCTCAAAATTATTATACAATTACAAGATCTGTAAAAATTCAGGTGACAAGTTAAAAAAATGAGTGCTTTTAGATGTGCCTTTTCTGTAGTTTCGGTTGCTTAACTCAAGACTATAAATTACTAGGGATGAATTCTATTACAATTGTTGTTCATTAACTGTTAAGATTTTGTTTTTACATTCATCAAAATACTAGTTGTGAACATAACTATATAGTTTTTAGAAATATCTATGACCATGTTTGTGAGCTAAGGTGTTAACTATTTTAGGACACTTTTTGTTAACTGTTAAACTATTATGTGCCAGCCAATGACAACTCTAATTTCTTTTTTTATTAACTTTAAAAAATTTACATGACAGTGGAATGCCTTACAATTCATATTACACATATAGAGTACAAATTTTCATATCTCTGGTTGTATACAAAGTATATTCACACCAATTCGTGTCTTCATATATGTACTTTGGATAATGATGACCATCACATTCCACCATCATTTCTAACTCCATGCCCCCTCCCTTCCCCTCTGCCCTATCTAGAGTTCCTCTATTCCTCCCATGCTTCCCCTTCCTATCCCAGTATGAATTAGCCTCCTTATATCAGAGAAAACATTCGGCATTTGTTTTTTTGGGATTGGCTAACTTCATTTAGCATTATCTTCTCTAACTCCATCCATTTACTTGCAAATACAATGATTTTATTCTCTTTTATTGCTGAGTAATATTCCATTGTGTATAAAGGCCACATTTTTTAATCCATTCATCTACTGAAGGGCATCTAGGTTGGTTCCACGACAACTCTAATGTTAGGCATTATCATATTATTAGATTATCAGATAGAAAAAATACTATTTAATTTACAAATCTAAGTGTTTGTATGACAGGTATCTTACCTATCTTTATATACAGATGTATATGTATTCTATTAACTTAAAAGAAATTGATCATGATCAAATGCCTCATAAGGCTTTTCTTAAAGTTATGTCACCCTTATGTAATTATCATGCACACTTTTACTTTGAGACACAGCTAATCTTATCAGTTTTTTAAAGAGAGATTAATCTTTGCACAGTACTCAGAAGGCTTATGTCAGTAAGCAATAATTGACATTTTGAAGGTAGAAGAGGACTGAGAATTTGAGAGAGCAATACAGATGGTTTGTAGGGGGTTTTAAGAAATAAGATGATTTCTAAGAGGTCTTATATTTGCTAAACCAATCTAGGTCTTTTAAAAATCTTTGTGCTTAAAAAGAAAAAAATCCTTCTCCTTGAAACTGAGCAAGGAAAGAAGGTAACTTTGCTTCTTTGCAACTAGAAGGCCAGCTATCAAATAATTAAGCCATGGCTCAGGAGGCTGAGGCAGGAAGATGGCGAGTTCAAAGCCAGCTTCAGCCACTTAGTGAGGCTTTAAGTAATTCAGAAAAACCTTGAATAATATAAAATATTTAAAATATGTAAAATATTTTATATTTTAAAATATAAGAAAGGGCTGGGGACATGACATGGCTCAGGGGTTGAGTGCCCCTGGGTTTAATCCCTGTTAACAAACAAACAAACAACAAAAAAAGCCAAAAAATTCAATATCATGTAAATGTCATACAACAATAAAACCATAAATTAACAAAATAATATAATGCTGGATTGTAGGTAAGAAATAAATTATAAAACATACTGAGGCTGATTCCATATTTGTCTTACTGTTATACAATACAGTGTTTAGCATTTAATCATTTGCTGAATAAATAACTGAAAAAAATTAAAAAGATTTCATGTCTTCTTATCTGGATTCTAGCCTTCTGGTGGTTATTAACTTCATCTTACATTAGGAAAAAAAATAACAAGAGGAGTTAGGTCATGATATCAACACTGGAGGATTTGTTTTCTCATAGATTTTTCAAAAAAGCAACTGAGCTCCATGAAAGTAGATTTCAGCTCCTTGTACTTACTTTCAACTATAAAGAGAGCCAATTAAGCATGATATTATAAAATCGATCCTTTTTTTTTTAACTATAATTCAAAATAGTAACAATGTCAATTACAAGATGTTTGATACTTACATATGGGAATCTGATTATAAAAAATGGAGAAACTACATAATGCAGCTTAGTTTGTGAAAAGCATTTTCAAGTGGAAATCAATTAGAGAAATGATGTTAGTAAGAAGTTTGGCAGCACTCTCTTACATGAACTTCATTTTTAGATTAAGGGGAAAAAAATGGCAGAAAATACCTATTATAAAATACCTATTATAAATACCTATTATAAAATACCTAAATACAATCTTTCTTTGTCCTAAGTTAATACACTTTCCCCAAAGTAAGAAGAAGGGATGTGGTGTTTCAAATCCAGAATGGTCTGGGAGGGTTTTTTGGTAGATGGTTGTCTACTTTTATCCCACCTGTTCAGGAAGGAAACTTAAGCAGCAAAATAAGTGGCCCAAAGTCTGATCCACTACACCAGGAGCCATGATCTTTGCCCTCCTGACAGCAATAACAAGGCAAGGTCATAAGTATTTGGGGGCCACTTTCTGTATTTAAGAAGAAAATCCATCTGTAAACAATCTAATTTTTGTGTGGGGGGGGCAAAAGAAGAATTTCTGCTTCTTTGGCTATTTTCACATCCACACACATTAAAAAAAATTCAATCATCTTCATACTTTAATTTGTGTGTGTGTGTGTGTGTGTGTGTGTGCGCGCGCACGCGCGCGCACGCGCGCGCACGCAGGGCAGAAGAAGAACTCCTACTTCTTTCTTTGGTTATTTTCATATTCACACATATAAAAAAAATTCTGTCATCATCTTCACATTCTTTCTTTTTGTGCACTCATATTATTACCAAAAGTATTTTTTAAAAATATTTTTTAGTTGTCAATGGACCTTTATTTTGTTTATTTTTATGTGGTGCTGAGGATCGAACCCAGTGCCTCACACATGCTAGACAAGCACTCTACCACTGAACCACAACCCCAACTCCTACCAAAAGTATTTAATTCAACTTCATTATGCTAAGGTAAATAGTTTTTTGACCCATAAACATTCAACAATAGAGATATTTTCATCATTTTCTAAATTTTTCATAAATATATGGAATAATTTGACATTAATATCAGAATTAGTGTGTCAAAGTTGATTACTCCAATACTTGTTTTTATTCAGTCATAACTATTGTGGAAACCAAGGCAGAAATGATGCATTAACAAAACATCTCAACTTCCTTGTATCACTAATAAAAGTGGCAAATAGGAAAAAAAAGAGGGAAATTTAATGGTGCTACTTTCTTTACACAAAATACATGGCATATTTTTGCTGCAATATTTAAAAAAGTGCAAAAGCATTCTCCAGTTGTATTTTTTTTTCTAGAGGGAGACAAATGGTGAACTCCTAAAGATGCCTAAAACTGGCTTCCTTGCCAAGTAGGGTCTTGAAATAACATTTAAATGGTTTCAAGAGATAAAAAAGAGACCCTGTTTTGCAACTGTAAGTAATGTGAAACAATTAATACAAACAATATTAGACACAGCAAATTAATTTTAATTTAAAAACTGATCTAAAGTTGGGCATGGTGGCCCACCTGTAATCCCAGTGACTTACGACTCTGAGGCAAGAGGATCATGTTTGAGGCCAGCCTTGACAATTTAGTGAGGCAGTCTCAAATAAAATAAATAAGTAAATAAAAAGGGGAGGGGATGTAGCTCAGTGGTACAGCATCCCTGGGTTCAATCTTCAGTATCACAAATAAACAAGCAAAACCCCAACCTTACCTAAAGATGAAATACAGAAGCTAAGA